AAAAATTTAGGTCCTCACAGCACTGGATGGATTACACACTCCACTGGGTTTTGTGGGTTTTGCTTTCTTTCACTGAACATTTAGGATTTATCTTGGACATCTGGAAGAGCTTTTTAGGAAATCCCACCCTATCCTCAATATTTTGGAGTGGATGAAGGCAGGTAGCCCTGACACTTTATTGCCTGCTGAAGAAGGGCATAGCTCTGCTCACCCAAATACACACTATTCTAATTTTATTTTCTAGGAAATGTGTTGGCCTCAACTGGCCCTATTTTGCTTCTGTTACTTTTCCTTGCTGTGATGTTGTGTTGGCTTTGTGCCCTTGGTGTTTGTGTTCAGGTTATTTTTTTCATTACACTTTGTAAGTATGTCTTGTTTATTTAATGTACCTGTGTTTCTGCTTTAAGTTTTCTCAGTTCTTGTTCATCCTTTGGCCACAGCTGTGCCAGAGTGTGGCACGCAGGGCATCTGGGCACTGGCACAGCAGCAGAGAAATTTCTCAGGAAGCCCCAGAAGAGCTTTCCTCAGAGGGTGAGGGAAGGTCACTAGAAAGGAAGGGATGGTGAAGAGCTACTTTCCTTTACAACAGGATTTTTATTTGAAGAATCAGTAGGAAGATCCAGCCTGATCTCTGGTCATCATGTGCCAAGTGACAGCTGAGGCATTGTATACAAGGGGCAGAGAGACAGAAAGTCTGGGGAGAATTTTTCTGTGATTGTTGAAAGAGCAAGAGGTGTATAAGAGAAGGGTGTGATGTTTTCAGCCTGACAGGCAGAAGTAGGGCTGAGATAATATGCATGATGGGCATTGCGTGTAGGTATGTATGGATTCTCATAGCGAAATGAAGCCCACTGTTTGCATTAACAGTCCTGCTAGCAGAGTTCCTTCTTTAGCAGAAGCTATGCAGTGCACTGCATGCCAGCTTACTGTGCACAGAGTTTAGGAAGCTTGTATCTAGGTGAACAGATGAAGTCTGTGATCTCATAGCAAAGCAGCCCAGTGCAAGCTCCATGAGCATGCTGTGAAATTTATGGGCACACAAAAAAAATGTATGGAGTGATATTCCCCAGAGACAGCAGGGAATATGCAGCACTGCCTACACTGCAGGTCAGTACCTGTAAATTGGAGTGCCCCAAATCAAAGACACCCTGTTTTCTAAACATTTCATGCAAAGCTGTTATCCACCAGGGTCTGCATTATGCTTCAGTGACAGCCTTTTTCTGTTCACATAACTCTGACCTCCACTGAGCAAACAGAAGATTCATATGTGACCAGCATCTCAGACTTTTGCAAAGTTCAAGAGACCACACAGAGCAAAGCTGTGGATGACACCTGTGTGGTAGCGTGTGACTGGTGACATAACACACCAGCTCTGAATTTCCCCACCTCTAAGTGCTTTCCAAACAACTTTTCTGGTGTGGGTTGTCCAGACTTCAGAGTATGATGGCTACACTCTTGAACGCTAGGACAGCAGTGTGGAGACATTGTAGGTAAATTAATACCAGGTACTTAGCATAGTTTGTTGAAGATGGCCCATTGCATGTGGATGTTCTGTACTTACTACTGACTGTAGTAGTGTAGAGGAAAATGAGGTGTCATGACCTTTCCTCTCCAGAAATGGCATTTCTGCATGATAGAGACTGCAAGGTTGAGGTTATGAACCTGTTTGCCATGAGGGATTGCCTGCAGCCACTGCCAATGACAAAAACCTGCTCAAGCTTCTGGCCCATGTTGCGCATAACCTTTCATAGTATATAATATGCTGGGTGATAGATGTTAAGTGGTTGGTCAGCTTGGTCAAAGCTTATGGTCCAAGAAAGTGCTGTTGTGGGAAGGTACAGAAGCCAAAGGCATCTGTTTTGGCCCTTGTTAACTGTGTGAGGACAAAATTAATGTTCTGTTGGCAAATGAGGGCTGACTGTGGATTCAGTTTGGCATGAGTGACTTGGTTTGACAAATTCAAGACCAAACTCAGTCCTGGTTATCAAAGATTATAGAGATACAGTCTAAAAAAATACCTGCTTCTTGAGAGGTTACTGGCAGTGAAAAGTTCCTCTCTTCAAGCTTTCCCTCAGTTTGGTGCAGAACTGGGGATTTTAGATCATCACTGGCAGTCACAAGCACAGCACTGACTTTTCTGGTCCTACCTAATAATTTTAACTTCTCAGTATGCAATTGGCCTGGACAGTGCTTTTTTGCAGACTTTTTTTTATTTTTATTCTTCATTGAAACCTTGTATCTTGAAGAGTATGGGCTAGGTTATAAAATGTGTGTTATTGTAGCTGAATAGGTGCCCAGGGTGCATAATCATTCAATATAGCAGGCTAGAATTAGAAGTGAAATATAAGTGTATTTCCTCTGTGGAGTAGAGAAAGAAGTTGCATTTCTTAATGTCTGCTACAGAGAAGAGTCAATCCTCTCTTGCCTTTCCTCTCTGTAAGCAGAAGATGAAGAGATCCTGCCAGCAATGCTGTGAATAGTTTAATGGCATAGCTCTTTCTTAGCAATGTGCATTGCAGAATAAAGGACAAACTACACTAAATATTGCAGGGTAGCTCACATTGGTTCATCTGATAAAAGTTATGTCAAGTTAAATGAAATCCTCAGCTTCTTCTCTTAATCCCCAGGACACTGGGGCAATGCTGTACTTTCACAAGTGAACTGAACTCTAACCCAGACAAACTCCGTTTATAGTAACTCCAAAAGCATGTATTGAATATCTTGCTGTGTTCCAGTATCATAGGTCAAAAAAACAACTGAGTGCTAATTATGCTGTTTAATGCAACCATTTCAAAAGTCTATTTCTAATCTTTTTATTGGTTTCACATTTTCTTATGCTATTAGCAGCCCATTTTCTGCTCCCTTCCCTCTCTATTTGACATTTCAGAATGAATAACAAAGCAGTTTTTTAAGTGCGTATGCATTTCCTCAAGGAAATCAGGGCTTGAGCACACACATTGGTCTTTGCATGCATGCTGATGAAGCATGCGTAAAAATATGTCTGCCTTTGCTTGCATACACGCCAAAGTCTGGGCTTCCATGCTTTGAACTCTTGCTCCAAAATGCAAATGCATAATTCAAGAGGACTGAAGCAGAATAGTGTTGAGCATAACCTCTGGGTCCATGGTTCCCATAGCAAACTATGCAGGCCTGAATTACATTTCTAAACTGTCCGTGCACCAGGAGATGTGGGTTCCTCAGCATGAGGATGAGGAAAATCAGTGCACCCAACAGCCAGGGCAGTCTGCGCAGGCCAGCAGACAAGCACTGAGGACTGTGTTCTTTCTGGAGAACCTCTCAGCTAAAGTGAGAACATTTATGTCCATGTGACTTTCAGATATGAAGGCAAAATAGGTAGGAAAAAACACTTTTTTGGGTCTCAAGAGACTATATGCATGAGAGAAGCACCGTAATGAATCGCCTTTCCAAAGTAAGCTATTCTGGGTATGTGCCAAAGTGGAGCCTGTAGTCCATCAGGTTCAGGTACTGACAGGTGAGATGGTAGCTAAGCAAATGTTTTGGGGATAAGCAGGCCTGAATATTGCTTAGGTCTAATTAAGTCTAATATGCCTCATTCATTTCTTTCTGGCCCAGATGCTGGTAATACACTCAAGGGACACTGTTATGGTGCCAACCAGTGTTGAACGTAACTGAATTTATTTATTAAGAATAAAAAAAATGTTCAAAGGTAAAGGTGGTAGCAATCAAGTCATTTTGTGTCTCATTATATTGTGAAGAAGCACAGCCCATCGTGCCACAGAAGAATGATATTTAGGAGTCCAAATGTGCACACTACTGTTTATATGCGTATTTGTTTTCCCTTCCTACACAGACATAGCCAAGGCTGATGTATAAAAAGAAATGCCTACAGACTGGTAGCCTGTGACTACTGGTGTACAGATTTTTCTTTTACTCTTCTGAGCATTTGTCCCATTTGGAAGTGTCATGGGGAATATTGTTCACGTTGTTTTACAGGCCTCAGTAGCTGAAGAAAATGAGACGTTATTACTGTAGAAAAAAACTCCACCCTGCCACATTTATATGGCTGTGTGCGTGCATTCAGATGTTGATATGCCCCTAGTAGAGCACAGATTTACTGACAGCTATGGCTACTGGGAGAAGCCTTGCTCCCACTCAAATTACCAGCTAAATTTGCCAGGTTCCACAGAAGCAGGAATTCAATCAGTCATCGCTGCCAACTCTGAAGGATATCACCAAAGTGCTGCTGGAAATGATGCAGAGCTATTTTGAGAGGGTAGCTTAGAAAGATATTTTCTTAAATACCATATTGCAAAATTGTATGAATTAGCCAAATGTGTCTTCTGGAATTCTCATAGCATTCATATGGAGGCTTTATTACTTCTGTAATTCACTCTTCACTGACTTCTCAGAAATGCCATAAGATGTGTTGAAAACTTGTACAAAGGACATCTTAGGAGACACAAAGCAAAATCTTTCCACAACCACTATAATTCACTAAAGATGAATTTAGTGCAATGAAAATTTCTTTCATACAGATGTGTTTCTATATAGAAATTAAAATTCACAGTTAGTGTCCTATAGCTCCTACAGCCGAGAAAAGACTTTGCAAAGGCTCTGATGTCTTTGGTGCCTTAGAAAATGCTCTCTCAGATTGTTCATTTGAATTTGGCCTAGATCATACAGTCCTTTGTACGTTATTATAGTTTACTTCTTTCTTATTTTACTTAATTGGTTTGCATCTTCAGTGAAAAATATGGAATGAAGAACAAGTGATAAACTCCAATTTGGCAACATGCTTAGTACTAGCTACTAAATTTCTTTTTACTAAGGATACTGCTGACTGCTTTCCTATTTTGAATTAAATGATTTGTTTGTACACTTAATTTTCTTCAATCTCTTCATCAGCGGCAAAGACCTGATAAAGCACTAGCTGACCATTAGAAGACAGATAAAATAGAATGATGCATCTTCATTACTATTGTGTTCTGTCTGAACTATTTTTTTTTTTTCTCTTGCAGGACGGTTCTGTTTACTCTGACCTCTGTAGTTGTGCTCGTCATCACTACTGACTGGATCAGCTGGGACAAGCTGAATCGTGGATTTCTGCCAAGTGACGAGGTCTCAAGAGCCTTCTTGGCTTCTTTCATCTTGGTGTTTGACCTTCTTATTGTCATGCAGGTACAGTCTTCTAATGTTTCATTCAAGCTGCTGAGGCTGCCTAGTCACTCTATTTCCTCTAGAGCAAATGATGTTTAGGTAAGACTACATAAAGGTAAATAAATGTTTAGTTTGCAATTGCTATTAGTGGAGGCATTTTATAACACCATTCTCAGTGACTTTGGAAAAAGCCTGCTGGCCTTTTATTGTGAAAACATTTCTGATTTCTCTTCTTAGACTACCAGGTAAATCTGCATGACTTTCCAGATTAGAAGGTGCTTTCTGCAAAAATGACATCAGAAAAAGAAACAGAAGCTAGTTGTTTTGTAAATTCAAAGCTTGTGTCAGGAAGATGAGAGAAATTCAGCCAAACAAGAAAGAAATACTTTGATATTTCAAGCATTTACAATATTAGGTATACACATAGCGTTTTAAGATATGAAAATCAGTATTTGCTATTAAGATTCCACTTTCCACTTTCAGACGAAGATTTCTTTGCTTTGATGACAGTAATGTACTGTAATGTCTTCTGCCAGCAAGGTTAACTGGGGAGACGATTCCCTGTAGTCTGCCTGATGTCTGCTCCTTTGAATCTAGCTGTTAAGAAAGGAATCTGGGTCACAAATATGTGGCCAGAAACCTCCTTCATGTGATGCTGTACTCTATCCTTTGCATTTGTCTGTGGTGAATAACTCACCCAATGCTCTGTGAAGAATTAGGTCATTTGGGCTGAGGCAAGGAAAAGGAACATTGAAGGCCTGAGTGACTTTTGCTATTAGTCCTAGCCATGTTAGACTGTTGAACTGAAGTTTAGCAAAGAATTTGAGAAGAACTGATGGGTCTTTTCTCTCCAATATATTACTGACGAAATCTGCTAGCAAAGACAGTTTCTGAGACACTTAGTTCTCTTTAATGAGATATCTATTGCTTGAGTAATTATCATAGAGGTGACACTGTGGTGGCACTCAGAATTTATCACTGCTGTACTAGGACATTAAAGCTGCATGAAGTCCTATAGTTCAGTTTTATTTTCCAATGTCCACCACTGTTCAGTGCTCGCTGAAGTTCATGGTTAGAACAAGGAGGATAAGAAAGGGAATACTGTTTTTCTAGTAAGATTTCTGGTGCTTTCTTTTCTCTCCCTTTGCATTTTACATTTTGTTTGCTGTTTCAAAAAGATTCAAGAGAATGTATGATAAATAACTGTAATGAAAGCATGAACGAAAATACATGATGTATCAAGCCATACTGAATTTGATATTGTATGCGGGGTAGACAAACAGAGTTGTCTTCATACCAAATTATTATTAAATCATCTTTCAACTTTGAAAAATGAAGTTCTAGTACTTTGACCTTGGAGTTGCTGAATATAAGGAAGAATTTTATTTGAAACTGCCTGTCCCGGGTACTATTTCATATTTTTACAACACAAAGCAAGAGGCTCTTTTTAATTGCATTTTTGACTGATGTTTTTGTGATGGAGTTATTTATTTATTTAAACTTATTTGGACTGTGAAACCAAGTTAACATGTTTTATTTATAGTGTAGTTCTAGCATCATTGCGTTGATACTGCAATGAAGTCGAGACAGCAAGTATTAAATCACAAGTGAAGACCATTAGGATCATGATCCTTTGACTAAAGCATGCTTTAGTATTACATGTTTCTAGCAATTCTTTTTAATAATGTTCATTTTACAGATCTTTTTTCTAACTTAACAAGCTGTAGCAACAAACTGGTAAAATTAGGGAAAAAGAGAAAAAAATGCTTAGTAGTAAGCAATTTCTGTTTGAGGCTGATGCTAGTTAAGAGCACAGATGAAGTCTCATCTAAATTTTGAGTACAGGCATTTTCTGTCCCTCTGAATGGTAGCATTAATACTGTGTTTAGCAACAAGAGAAAACCAACTGAGTTTGGAAACCTATTCTCAGTGCTGTAAAAAATAATCACATAATTGTAAAGGACGGCTTTGCTTTCTCAGTATTATTATAATTTAATATTTATCTAAGCCCTATGTAGAGCATAAGAAAGAAATAAAGCATTGAGTGGCCCCTGCCCTGAAGAGCTACCTTTTTTCAGTTAGACATAGCCCAGGCAGACATGTGAAGAGGAGAACACAGACAGCTGAACTTTATACAGTCATACATGAGTGATGCTGAAGGGTACGTGCACTTTTTAGCTTTGGCTTCCATCCTGCAGCAAACCCTGGCTGCCTCCCAGCCCCACTCTCCTTCTAGTGTGCAAAGGCTCCTCCAGTCCGAGCAATTCACCAGATATTCAGGGGACGGGTATGGGAGAAAAGCACAGATGAGATACAGAGTAGAAGACAGAGACTTGTGTCGGAGATGTCAATGTGAAAGTTATGACTGCAAAAATATTAAGACAGTCTGAGAAAACAGATCATGGAGAAGGTTGCAGGACTACCACAGGACCTCATGGATAGCGTGGCTGGCTTCTGGCTCAGGCTGTATTCCTACCTCTTCTGCCAATCTCGCTGTGACACATCGCCACATCCACCCTCCTTGGAGTGAAGAAAAGGGACCCTGAGTGCCTGTTTTAGATGGCTGCTGTGTACACATCTCCACCTGATTTTAATCACTGTGTCTTTATAGTCAATGGAGAGATCGAGGTACAGTTGGGGAGCTTTTAAACATCTACAGTAGGATGATATGCAGCAGGCCCTAGAGGTGCACGTTTCTCTCCACGGAGAACAAACGGACCCAACATGACGAGTTCAGAGGAGCCATCACTTAAGCCAGACTCAAAAGAAATGTTATGAGGGTAGCATGGCTCGAGTCCAGAGCTGCAGCTCTGCAAGGATCCTGCTCAGCTATTTCCACAGCTGGTCAAAGGGCCAAAGTAGCATTTCTCTGCTAGTGTTTTATCAATGAGACTTCTTTAGAGCATGTCTGACTCTTGCAGGCAGGGTGATCTCCACTTCTCCCACTGCTGCCTGGCCACAGTTCGAAAGGAATTTGAGTTTCATTGGGTCTAGGACAGTGTGTCAGAGACAATACCCATTTTAGGTGTTTGAGAGGCAGCACAGAGGTCTCTATTCCAGGTCTGCTCGTCAGGACATTTTATCCAATGTAAATACAAACACTGATTTTTTAAAATATAGAGATTGCATGTTTTCTCACTGAGAAACAACAGATTAAGTTCAGTCCAATGCAGGTGAGCAGTCGTTCATTTTAAAGGGCATGTGCTTGCTTACAGTAAGAAACTCTACAAGTTTGTTATTTTTTCCACAGTATGGAAGTGATGACGTTAGTCATTTTCACAGTGTGTTTAATTATGCTTGCCCTGATAATTGAGATGGCAAGATGCCAACATATGTTTATTTCTGGCACCTATAGCATTCACTGCTGTATATGGGCATCATTATATTTTTAGCCTTAGTTTCAGACTGAGTGCAAGACCACACATATTAAAGCTGGATAGGAAGTCACGTAATAGAACTTTTTACTATTTTAATGAAAAATTCAAGTATTTAGTTCTCTTTCTCAAAGATGAAATGGAAAAGCTGTTAATTAAAGGAGTAAATATGAAAAATATGAAAAATGAACCCATAATCCCACATTCCAAATAACTCTATTTGAGCAAGTAGACAGTAACCCATGCAATAGCCTGTATACTGCTTTTTTGCTTTTTTGGGGTTTTTTTTTTTGGTGTCATGTTCTTAGTGACTTTGAGATTATTAAACCTTGAGTGTCCATGGGAGATGAATTGTTTCATCTCTGTGGTGTCTTTTGTGAGCATTTACAGGTTTCTCCAGACTTCTGAAAGACCATCGAGTATTTCAGCATCACTGTGGAGTTACACACTGTAGCTACCTTGCTGAGCACTTTGCAAGTCCCATGGTGTAAATTCTTGCAACTCTTATGACTTACTGCAACATTTTATCAGACAGTACAATCAGATACAATGTCTGAGTGATTTAAAAGCTACCTGAAAATAGTATTGGATTCCAAAAGGAGAATTTATTCTTCAATAAACTGAAGAAATTCTGTAGTGGCTGAGTGGAATAAACAGAAGCCAGGAAGTGCTTATGTCTAAGATTCTTTGAGAAAGCTCTTGTATGTGAATCTTTAACCAAACTGGCAAAATAATCCCATTAATACCAAATGGGAATACTCTTATAAATAAAGAGAACAGAATTTTATCCTTCTGGGTAACTTGAAAGAAATGAAGGTCAGAGAGTTAGATAATTAGCAACATGCCTTATGACTACTGCTGGATCTCTGCTTATGTAGGTATTAGGATATTAGCAGACACATTTTTTTTTTTAATAATAACCATTTTTCAAATGTATTTTTCATAATATTTTTGTATGTAAATTGCTTTAATATGTAACTGTAGATCACTCTTTGCTACTGCAGTTGAAAATCAACGTATTTAAAGGGGAGCCTGTCACTTCCTTTTTTGGTTTTGTTTTCTGCAGAATGTCTGATCTTCTGTCTTTGGTAGAGTTTTAATAAGAGAATTAGAAGGTTAACAGATTGAAGAAAATCGGTATTTAGGCTCTCCTGTGTTTTTTTCTTCTAGTTCTTCATGGTTACCTGAAAAAAAAAATAGTTAATTTAGCTACTTTGTAATGTTAATTATGTTTTGTATATGTCATTGTTAAACAGTAACACAGAAACTTTATCAGCAAAATAGAACAGACTCTGGTCTTGTTAACAAATACATAAAGCGGGGACAGTTCCATTTATTTTCAGTTTTACACTGATGGAGAGGCTGTTTTGATTAAAATCTAGTACAATGTGTGAGCACATTAAAAAACACCACCCACAACATCAAGTGCATAGAAGAAGATACAATTTACTTGAATAGTTAAATAGATAGAGTAGAAATACGGTCTTGTCCACACAAAGTGGGTAAAGACTTGATTTTTAGAGGTTTTTTTTTTTTTTAGAAAATCTATTTAACTTTTCAAACATAACTTGATTGTGACTTCTAACTGGATTTACACTCAGTAATTCGATAAAATTAATTTACATGTATACAAACGAGAGGAGAATC